TGTCTGTGAAAAATGCGGAAAAAAGTCACTTTCACTGACAATATCATCACTGTTATATGTTTTACTGTTTGAATCACTAAAATGTGTGTTCAGCGAAGTCTCCCGAGTAAAACATGTACAGGTTTTAGGGTGTCATAGAAAGTTACAGGGTAAAATACAGTGCTAGCAAATTAAATTCTCTGGACTTTCGGCCTGGGTTGGCAGGCAGGTCCCTCAAATTGCAATTAATAAAATTACTTAATTATGTAAAAATATTACATAAAAATGCACGTAGAATTTAAATATATATGCATATTTATATATTTGAAGTCTACGTGTATATTTATATAATTATTTAATTTTGTATATGGACATATGTATAATTCGTATTATTTTTATTTATTTATATTTTTATTATATATATATATATATATATATATATATATATATGTCTCCACATTTACCTGTCACAGCACTCTGATTGGTTGGTTTGAAATCCACCAATCAGAGTGCTCTGTGTCATTTTACACAGTGTGGGAAAGTTCTTTGGAATTTTCCCACACTGTGTAATTTGACTCATAACACTCTGATTGGTGGACTAAAGGACCACTCTAGGCACCCAGACCACTTCAGCTTAATGAAGTGGTCTGGGTGCCAGGTCCTTTTAGGGTTAACCCATTTTTTTTATAAACATAGCAGTTTCAAAGAAACTGCTATGTTTATTAATGGGTTAAGCCTTCCCCCAAAGCCTCTAGTGGCTGTCTCATTGACAGCCACTAGAGGCGCTTGCATGCTTCTCACTGTGATTTACAGGGGGGGGAGGGGGTGACTAGGGGTTTGGGGACCCCTAGTCACCTGGGGGGGCATTATTTTTAGGGCCCCCACCCACCACTCAGATGTGGGGGCCGGGGTGGAGCACAATAGGTCCCCCTCCCTTATTAGTATTTAGGGCCCCCACCCACCACTCAGGGGTGGGGACCTGGGGGGATGACATTAGGTCCCCCCCTTATTCTTGTTTAGGGCCCCCACCCGCCGCTCAGGGGTGGGGGCCAGGGGGGAGGACATTAGATCCCCCCTTATTCTTGTTAGGTCCCCCACCTGCCGCTCAGGGGTGGGGCCAGGGGGAAGGACATTAGGTCCCCCCTTATTCTTGTTTAGGGCCCCCACCCGCTGCTCAGGGGTGGGGGAGGACGTTAGGTCCCCCCTTATTCCAATTTAGGGCCCCCACCACATCTCAGGGGTGGGGGCCAAGGGGGAGGACAATAGGTCCCCCCCCATCATTTTACTTTAGGGCCCCCACCCGCCGCTCAGGGTTGGGGGCCGGGGAGGGCAATAGGTCCCCCCTTTAATTTAAAAGCCCCCACTCGCACGTCACGGGTGGGGGCTCCCCCTCCCGAGCCCCCACCCGTGACGTGCGAGTGGGGGCTAACCCTTCCAATCAACCTGATACTGCAACCGACCCCGAGAAAAACGAGAATCAAGCAGAGCAGCCACTTCGTACACGTCACTAGAGACAGCGCGGAGAGAATCGATTACAGAGCAGGGGCTTCAAAAGGGAGGTGTGAAAAGTGTTAGGTATATGCATGGAAGGAGGCAAGGCCAGGGAGTAGGACACAGGATTGACCCTACGCAATACCTTATAGGGGTCAAGGAACCTTGGGTTTGGTATGCCTTGATACCATCAAGGAAAAGAGATGAAATAACCAAACGGGTAGCAGCTATTATTTTAGACGTGGGTACAATGGGTTCAGGAGCGGGGGCAATAGACTCCAAAGGTTCGTATTGTCGGGAGATAGCATCAGCCTTGACATTACGGTACCCAGGCATATATGTGATAGTGAACTGAAAGTGTGAAAGAAATAAGGACCATCTGGCTTGACGAGAGGACAACCTTTTAGCATCAGCTATATAGGAGAGATTCTTTTTTTTTATTATTATTTATTTTTGTGTGCATTGTTAAGTACAAAACAGTCCGCCTGGCCACAACAGCCTTGCGGGTGATGGTTGTTACAAGACTTCACAACATAGTTAAGGCATACTTTTGTCTGTCAGTTCCAAGTTGTAATGTCAGCTAGATCTGTACCTTTTATTTTTATTTTACAAGTCAACTAGTGTGGATTAAGGCCTCCATGGAGTGTATTTGCAGTGTATGTCATTTCCCCTCGAGTTCCGGGATCATGGTAATTCGGGGTGTGGGTATCTGAAGGTTGTCAGTCCGGAGGTAGTTGTCAGCGTGTTTGTACCCCTTAATGTGTTCCGTGTTGGGTTTGCGTGTGTGTGCGCATGGCTGTCCTTAGTGTTGTTCGTATCTGCGAGTGAATTATATGATGTCTGTTTATGTCAGCGTGTGTGCGTGGGGCAAGCGTTATCGCTCATGGAGCCCGTTGAATCTTTGTGGTCTATCGATGGGTTGGGGTTTTGACTTCTTACCGAGGAAGTCGCGGGGGGGTGGGAGAAGGTATATTCTCCCCGGAGCTTGTGGTGTTCTTTGTCCGAGTAAGTCACGGCTGATGGCGGTCAGTCACAGTTATGGTATAGCGTAAGCTATACTTGTCGAGTGTGTGTGTAGTAATATCGTGCTGAAAACCAATAACAAAACACCAAAACATAAAAACCATAAAAAACAAGCATAGGGTAAAACAGTAGGTGAGCCGGTATGCAAAGCCCTAAAGAGGAGGCAGTGTCTGGTTAATGTATTAAAGTCGCTGGCCACCATTAATGCAGTTCAGAACAGCTCTTCCTCAGCGCCTGTGGAGGACACATAGGAGGTCGAAGGTCTGGCGCAGTGGGGCAGTTCAGGTTAGGGCTCCGCTTCTCTCAGTGTTCCTAGGAGTGAAAGAGATTACTGTCTCTGGGTTCCATGTGTGTGGCGTCGTGGGGTTCTCCCTTGTTTGGGTTAGAGCTGGCATCCCTAGTGCCCTCAGGAAAGGTTCTGCATCCTGTAGCGAGGAGAGGCTGTGCGTGGCGCCCCCCTTGGTCACTGTCAGGGACCTTGGGAATGTCCATTTATACTCGAGCTTTGCCTCTCTCAGTTGAGTTGTGACTGGGGCCAGGGATCTGCGCCTTAGTAATGTGTTGCGGGTCAGGTCTTGGTAAAAGGTAACGTGAGAGTTTTCAAATGTTAGCGGGGTCTTCCCTCTGACCACCGTGAGAAGCTTAATTTTGTCGGTCACGGAGTGACATCGGATAATGACATCTTGAGGGGCGTCTGTTGGTGCTTGTCTGGCTTTTCTGATTCTAAAACAATACAAGTTTTTTGCCTGAGCGGGTGGCAGAAGCGTCGCTATGAGACGTAGTGGGGTAGTTCTGATGAGTCTATGGTGTCTGGGATCCCCCTTAATTTTAGGTTAGCACGTCTGTTGCGGTCTTTTGTTTGGTCCAGTCTTGTGATTAGGGTGGACTGTGCGGCCTGCATATGGTAACAAGTGTCTTTTATCTCTCTCACCTCTCTTTGGAGATCTAGGATGTCCTTCTCTGTGGCCCGTGTGCGTGCGGTCATCGCTTGCATTTCAGTCTTTATTAGGTTGATATCTGCTGCATGCATTCTCCTCATTTCCATCAGGAGGATGGCAATATCTTGTTTGGTAGCCGGGGTTTGTGTGTCTTGGCCGGCAAGTGACTCTGTGGCTTGGGGAGCGGTGGATATTTCTAATCCAGCCCCATGCTGTTCCCCCTCGTCTGGAGATGCTGGTGTGCGCTCCGCCGGGGTCGCCATCTTGGGCGCCATTGGCCTCTGCAGCATGTCGCCGATATCGTGGGTGCCTCTGCCGGCGGTTGGTGGAGGCTTTTGTGACCTGCGACCCATTGTGTATCCGTCTGGTTCCGCGGGGTCCTTTAAGAGGTAGGTGCCGTGTCGAGCGTCGATTGCTGCGGCCTCCGTCGCGTACCTTGCGGTTTGGAGTGTCAGGTAGGCCCCAGATTTTCGCCGGGTCTTTTTACCCATTTGCGGGAACTGGAACGGCATTCGCCTGTGCCTTGGGCTCCAGGGTTACTCGGGTGGGTGTTTGGGTCGTTGGATGGTACCCTGGTACCTCGGATTGAAGCGGGTTGTCGTCGATTATTCGGAACTCTCTGTTAGTGCGTCCGTTCAGGTTCAGCTCCAGGCTCCGCCCCCCAGGAGAGATTCTTATGATCAGTTATAACCAGGATTTTGTGTCTAGCTCCTTCTAATAAGTACCTCCACTCTTTAAAAGCCATCACAATAGCTAATAGTTCCCTGTTCCCGACGTCGTAATTCTTTTCCGAATCAGACAGTTTTTTAGAAAAGTAACAACAGGGATGGACTGGTTCGTTATAGGATAGTCTTTGTGATAATACAGCTCCTACACCTGATTCTGAAGCGTCTACTTCCATTATAAAGGGAAGGGAAGGATCAGGATGGTGTAACACAGGGGCAGTGGCAAATGCCTTTTTGAGAGTTTCGAAGGCTTTAATGACTTCAGGAGTCCAAACCCTGGGGTGCAAACCCTTTTTAGTCAGTTTCGTGATAGGAGAAACCACTGATGAAAAGTTTTTAATAAACCTGCGATAATAATTGTCAAAGCCTATAAATCACTGTATTGCCTTAAGGCCTTGAGGAAGAGGCCAAGACAATATGGCTTCTAATTTTAAAGGATCCATGCTGAACCCCTGTTCAGAAATGATGTACCCTAGGAATTGTACTGATTTCTGGTCAAATAAACATTTCTCCAATTTACAAGAAAGACCGTTCTGTAGCAATCTCTTAAGTACCTTCCTCACATGGGCATGATGTGACTCCAAATCAGGAGAATATACAAGTATATCATTGAGATAAACCACGGCACAGACATGCAGTAAATCTCTAAGGACATCATTTATGAGGTCCTGAAAGACAGCAGGAGCATTACACAGTCCAAAAGGCATGACTAGATACTCGTAATGCCCACTGCGTGTCAGGTATAGCATGGCATGTATTTCGTCGCCGGAACCCACTTCCGGGTTCACGGCGCTCAGCCCCGCCCCTTTTTTCTGACGCGGTCCCTCCACGATACTTAGGAAGACCGCGCCAGATTCAAAGGGCTGGATTATTCGCACAGGTGCTGCAGAAAGATCAGCTGCTCTACTTTTGATCCTACCTGCTCCACTTCTAGACCTCGGCTAAAACGGCTCCACTTCTCGACCTCGGCTTGTAAACGGATTTCTACCTTCTCCACTCTAGACCTCGGCTTGTAACTGAATTCTACCTTCTCCACTCCCAGACCTCGGCTTGTTAAAACGGACTTCCCCACTCTCCACTCCTAGTTCTCAGCTTGTTGAAACGGACTTCTAATTTCTCCTTCATTGGGTGAATTAACCCTTCCAGTGCCAGAACTGCCTTTTAGTTAAGTAATACTTTTACCAAACAAGCCAATTTCTATTATTTATGTTACACAGTATCTAAAGCTCACTAAAGTGTCACTTTGTCTAATTATTCCTCTTATTCATAAGGGATTGCTACAAAGCCTAATTTTTCCTTCATGTGTATTTAAAGGTACAGTGACCATTGTTTCATATCAATATAAAAGGAGGTGAAACTTATTGTTGCTGCAATCAGGAAATTCTGCAGTTGAGTTCCAATTAAAGAAGTATTACAAAATAAATATTACACTGCATGTATTGAACGCTGTCTTCCATTCATCATTTTCTTTTATACGAACCAAGTTGTAAGCCCCCCTGAGGTCTAGTTTAGTAAAATATCTAGAACCTTTAACACGGTCAAACAACTCAGTAATGAGAGGAATAGGATAAGCATTTTTAACTGTTATATTATTAAGGCCCCTATAGTCTATACATGGCCTCAAATCACCCTCTTTCTTGGCAACAAAAAAGAAACCAGCACCAGCCGGAGAGGAGGACCTTCTGATAAAACCTTTACGTAAGGATTCCTGTATGTACTCCTCCATGACCTGGTTTTCTTTCTCAGAAAGCAGGTAGACCTTACCCCTAGGAGGCATCGTTCCAGGTAACAGGTTTATGGCACAATCATAATCCCGGTGTGGGTGTAGTTTATCAGCTTCCCTTTTTTCAAAGACCAATGCGAGGTCTGCATACACAGGAGGGACAGAAAGTGGTATAGCGGTAGGCACATTAAGTAAACAAACGGGACGTAAACCGGCCATATAGTCTTGTTGACAAGATTCCCCCCAGGAGAGTATATCTAGACAACCACAATCAAGTACCGGGTTATGCTTAACTAACCAGGGGAAGCCCAGAACGATGGAAGCTGTAGGGGAGTCAATTATTTTGAAGGTTATCCTTTCTTTGTGTAAGGCACCCACGACCATAACCATTTCTTGGGTTTCATGGGTCACCAGAGGTTTATCAAGTGGTCTACCATCTATGGCCTCAACGGCCAAGGGTGTGGCCTTTTGGATCAGATTCAAGGCTGCGGTTTTAGCAAAGTTCTCATCCATAAAGTTGTCTGCAGCACCTGAATCGATCAAGGCTTTAGTTGTTATCGTGGTTTGATTGACCAAAAGAGTAACCGTAATAAATGGTCTGGAGATGGACACATGAGGGGAAAAAAACATAACACCCGAGGTCGACCCCTCTCTAGGCCTTAGGTGCTGAAGTTTCCCTGCAAACTA